CCAAGAATTGGGCTCGGGCCTAAGAATTAAGGTTGAGTCCTAGTTTTGAGTCTTGACATTGGACACCCACAGTTCTCGAAACATACTTGTCTCTATTTTACCAAGCCATGTGTCGTCTAATAAAAGTAGATATTTCCCTTATCAGTCGTATAAATACTTACTGTAATAGCGAACATATTCAATAATATAATAACTTGAAACTTGTGTATAGCGGTACTACAATCATACAAATCTTTATGAATTTATAAACTTTATAAAATGTAAGAAAATCTTTATGAATTTATAAACTTTATAAAATGCAAGTAAAATTCTTACAAATTGTAAGAATTGAGGTAAACCGGTGAGGTCCCATGCATATACAACGCACTATAACATGGTGAGCCTAAATGCATCATAGTGAGATTTCATCCTAAAATCAATTGGTAGTATGAGGACGAGCCTACTAGGCATATAAGTTAGGCCTACTTTACCTGTATAACCGATGTGGGACAACTCACAAGTGGTATTATATTCTAATATGCCCCCTCACTTGTGTCTTCTTAATAAGAGCCCAAGCCCAACTAGGCCGAGAAACGGGTACGTCATCGCACAGTCTCAAATAGAACCGGCTCTGATACCATGTAAGAAACGAATAAACGATTGCGATCTCACGCACGTGAAACGCACCATGACATGGTGAGCCTATATGCATCACAGTGAGATTACATCCAGAACTCAATTGGTTGATGGAAGGAGTAGCCCACTAGTCTTATAAGTAGACTTATGTTCCCGGAATAAACGATGTGGAACAACCCACAAGTGTTATTATATTCTAATATGTCCTTCACTTGTGAGTCCTTCATATGAATCCCAACCCCACTAGGTCGAGTAATAAGTACGTCATTGTACAGTCCCATGTAGAACCGACTCTGATTCCATGTAAGAATCGAGGGTAGAACGGGTGCGAACTCACACACGTGAAGCGCACCACGACAGGGTGAGTCTAGATGTGCCACAGTGAGATTTCATCCTAAAACCAATTGGTGGTAGAAGGAAGAGCTCACTAGGCTTATAAGTTATACATATTTTCCCTGTATAAACGATGTAAGACAACTCACAAGTGGTATTATATCTAATACAAATTAAAGTACATAGTGAATGGCACGACTATTTATAGATGTAGACATACGACTTTAAGAGATTTGGGGCCAAAAGACACCTTCTCGTACGAGCTTGGGTATTGAATCAGCCGAGTCAACATCCCTTGGTTCCCAATCAATGAAACTGATCATGGCCACATGAGCGCAACAACTAAAAAATGATGGGTTGCAGACAAACAGGACATAGCCCGCCTTCGAGTCCCAACTACAATGCCCGAGTCTTATTCGACTCATCATAGCCAACTTTTGGTAGTGCATGCCATCATGCACAACTTGCTTTTTGGATAGTTGGTTGAGCGTTTATCTAAGCCGACCCCTTCTGAATCCAACTAACTCTAATTTTTTCAAGCTCAATAATTTCAACATTCATTTAATTTATTATTAACAATTGATTTATCATTCATCTTAACATAATTCCAATTTTTTTTTTCTAAGTTATTCATTTACAAAAAATATAACCGTAAAACTTGGTACTAAAACATTTTTACCCCGAGGTTCACAAAATTGTACATTCTTAGAAAAAAAAAAAAGGCCTTTCCCTTCTCTGTTATTGGGTAAAATGGGTAGTAGTGCTTGAAATAACCAAGAACCATGACAACCAAAATACTATCAACTCTATTCAATATTATCGATATAATTAGATAATACAAATTAATCATCTTCATACATCAATTTAATTTATTACTCGTCCGTTCGCACATTTTTAGTTACTTATCATTTATAGTAACTTTTTTTCATACTTTTACATCATATCAACTTTAATTATTATATTTGAAATACAATCTAAAAAACACACTCAATCCGATACTCAATCAACTTTATTTCAAAGTAACTCAGTTTATGATCAATCCAAACAAAGCTTATTTACTCGTATCAAATCGGGCCCCACTAAAGTAAATTGACCTTGTATTATTTATTAGTGAGTTGATGGAAATTATTGCATTATTGTTACTAGTTTGTATTGCATAAGTCCAAAAAAAATGCACTGTAAAGCACCATTCCGTACCTCGATCGAATTTACTAGAGATGTTAAACGGGCTAGCCCTAACGATTTCGGGCTAGCCCTAGCGGGCTTCGGGTTAAACGGTCCGGGCTTAAAAAGCCCGGATTTAAACGGGCTACCAAAAAAGGGACCTAACCCTAGCCCTAGCGGGCTTCGGGCTAAACAGGCTATGCGGGCTATTATAATAATAATAATAATAATAATAATAATAATAATAATAATAATAATAATAATAATAATAATAATAATAAAAAAATCAAAAATAAAAAGAGTAAAAAATATATAAAAAATAACAACGGCTAGTTAAAAATTGTTTTCAACGGCTATTGAATATTTACCGCCTATCACTATGTTTTATGTGTTTCTTATTAGTCGTTCTCATTGGCTTAAGTATTTTCGTATGAAGTACAATAACAATATTATTAATAATTATCTTTCAAAATCATAATAATTCATTACAACTCATACTTACATGTGAAATGGAAAACCAAAATTGTAATATACAAGTAATATAAGAGCATATTACTTACTTGATGCAAACATTTACACCGCCCAACCCTAGTTAAACGGGCTAGCCCTAGCGGGTTTCGGGCTAACCCTAGCGGGCTTCGGGCTAAACGGTCTGGGCC